CGAGGACAAAGCATTCTTTGATGATCCTTTGTTCACATCTGTCCCTGAGGTTCCTTCATCAGGGTGCTCTTGAGAAGATGAAGGGGTTTTAGCTGGCTGACTCCTCTCCTCTTCCTTCTGTAAGACTGTCTGTTTCTTTACCTCTCTAGCACTGTTCAACTCCTCGCTTGCGACGCCAGTGTCCAATTCCACAGCATGTTCCTCTTTGATGTCATCACAAATATCACGCTCAGGGGATCCACTGATTTCCTCTGTAGCATCTTCAGGTTCCACCTTGACAACTTCCTCTAAATCCCCAGGGGAAGAGTTGTTTAGAGACTCCTGGATGCCCTGAGGCAGCGGCTCCAGAGCTTGTCTTCCCTCCTCTGTTTTCACAACAATCCAGCAATAGGCACTGTTCTCTAACAATCCTTCTTGGCACTCTGCATCTGCTGATGGAGGCCCTGGGCTATGTTCCACTTTGGAGAAAACAGTAGCAGAGAGAGGAGATAGTTCCTGGGGCTCTAATTTGGGTTCTAGGCCCTGAAAGGCATTTTCCCCATTAGCCACAGCACAAGCAATGTCCACATTCACGTGGGCCTTATCTTCAGGGGTGGAAGGTATAGGAAGATTCACAGAATTGCCACAAACAATTAAGGGTGAGACAGAGGAGGCCACAAGGGGCTGGTTCAATTGACAGGGGAAGGAAGTAGGGTGGTAATGGGAATAGTCTGGGGACTCTGGGACACAGCCGCATTGACAGGCTAGATCATGTTACAGCCACTGCCAAGGCTCACAATCTTCACAGTGGTAGCAGGAACAGTGAAGATAACAGATGCAGGGTGGTGGATAACAGGGGCAGGTTTCATACAGCGAGAGGCCTTGACTCCCCTTCTCTTTGAGGGTCTGCGTCTCACATATGGCTTCCGAAACTTAGAAGGGGCAAGGAAGGGCAGCATTACCTTGGGCACAGGGGCAGAAGAGAGCAAAGTCTGGGATTCAGACAGAGGGAAGCTTGTCCTGCCCTCAGGGGGCATAGCAGGCAGTGCTGCAGGAGACTCAAAACTCTCACCTCCACTGACCCCCAGTGGAGGGACACCTGGAACTGTCTGTAAGACAGTGGCTGGCTGGATCAGGTGAGGAATTCGGAGCACCATTTTGCTCGGAGAGGCTTCTGAATGAGTTGATTGGGCTGGTGTTTTCCCAGGGTTGAAGCTAGGCTGGAGAGAGGGGTTTGGTTGGAGAAGGAGGGGCTTCAAGACTGATGAACGCTTCTGTCTCCAAGCCTTCCTGGGGAAACGGTTGGCAACTGGCTTCAGTTTCAGGACCACACCCTTAGGCAATAGCAGTGGGTACCGACTTTCACTCTCCAACTCCAAATTGTCTTTTTCTAGGCTTCAATCTGAGTTGATCTCAGTGGTTCCAGTCACATGTCCTACCTCTCTAGCACCATCAGCCATGTGCCGCAGTTCTTCCTGGATGGATGGCAGACTGGCCTATTGGAAACAAGAACACTCTGATCCAGCATATGTCAAAATTTGGGAAAAAGAAGCTTGGCACAGTGGCTCACACCTGTAATCCCAGCACTTTGGGAGGCTGTAGTGGGCAGATAACTTGAGGTTAGGAGTTCAGGACGAGACTGACCAACATGGTGAAACCCCATCTCTACTAAAAATGCAAAAATTAGCTGGGTGTGGTGGCATGTGCCTGGAATCCCAGCTACTCGGGAGGCGGAGGCAGGAGAATCACTTGAACCTGGGAGGCAGAGGTTGCGAGGACCCAAGATTGCACCATATACTGGGTGGACAGAGCAAAACTCTGTCTCAAAACAAAACAAAACAACAACAACAAATTTGGGAAAAACAATTGGGCTTTCTAGGTTTTAGGGACCTGAGACAAGCTCAAGGCATCTTTCCAAGAAGGAACTCCGCATATCAAATCTACAAAGACCACATTCCAATTATATACTTTAGAAACTCTTCTCTGAATTTCCTTTAGCAAATGATTATTTTACCTATTATTCTGAAAATGTTGTAGAATCACCCGGAGAAGGGCAGAAAAGTAAGGGAAGAAAGGTGAATGAGGAAGATTTCTGAAGTCCTAGTTCTACAACTAAAGCATTAGTCAATTAAGGAAGCCCTTGATATTCTCTCAGAACTTTCAGTGACCTTTGCCTCCCACAGACTTTGAGGAAGAGGGTTGTACCTTTAACCAGAATGGGAGCCGGTGTTCTTCTCTCTCTACAGGTGGCTTCCACTGATGTGGCTGGATCTCTTCACAGCATTTTACTAAGCCTGGCAGCTGTTTGGTCTTCTTATAAAACTTAACATGATTGGGAGGCCAAGACGGGTGGATCACGAGGTCAGGAGATCGAGAC